GGGGACAGGAATGTAGGCTTTACGACTCGAAATGAGCAGCAACAACATCAACAATTCAAAAACATCCAAAATGTGTGGAAAAACACAGGTGCTTAAGACAATCTTGGACATTTTTTCAATATACCAAAATCATAAGATGATTTTTCCGACACCTCGGCCGCATTGGGGCTTTCTTGGGGCATCTTAAGATCGCCAGGGTCCAGCCAGGGTCCATCGATGTCCATCGCCAAGCTGCGAGACCAAGAGATTGAAGAAAAAGCTGTAGACCAACATCATAAATAGCACAATGACCTGGTCTTGTCGAACATCACAACTGCGAAAACTTCTGGAGACCTCAAGTTACATCCTCCCGCCGTTGCAAATGGTTTGAAGAATTCTAATTGCTTCCCTAAACTTTAAAGCAAGTCTGGGATGGCATCATTCAAATACATCATTCAGTCAGTTTACGGCTAAGTTGAAGGAAACATTAGCATGAAACCGTAGATTGCCGTCCAAATCATTATGTCCGAAATATAGAGGATGTCCTCCTCTTTTGTTTTCCTTGAACCAAGTCTGGGACGTTAGCATCTGGGGAAGCCGCATTGAGAATGAACTAATTATGCCGAAGTTTTGGTTGCCATATATAATTCTCTACCAAATTGCGCTACTAACGGGTCCAACTGATCCAAAAAATTGCTTCCCGGAACAGCGTCGCCAAACGTTTGCTCCGAATGGGTTTGAGCCTATCGACCTGGGAAGAACTAAACTCAGTGACTATCAACTGAACATCATCTTTTAACAAACTCAACGAGTTGCACGGCGATTGGTTCCATGGAACCATGTTCCAAATCCCAAGAGTGGATTCTAACATCTCCCAGAGGCAACGACAGCGAGCCGTCCCAAACTGTCAAGCGTCGATGATCAACAACGGGCTCTCCTTGGACACTTCCTGAATACCTTCCTCAGAACGACAGCGAGCTAAGGCACAACATTGGATTGACAAAGGGCTCCCTAGAGCCCTGGAAATGGCCCACCGTTGTATCCACAAAAATGAGATCATATAATATGATATACCTGTCATCCCTGCTTGGGCTCCCTGTTTGTTTGTTTGTTTGTTTGTTCGTTCGTTTGTTTGTTTGTTTGTTTGTTTGTTGATATTTTTGGATATGTTTGGCAGTTCTTGGCAGTATCAGCATCAGTTGTTTTTTAGTATTATCCTCAGGTTGGCTGATTGTATCCTCATGTCAAACAAATCCCATCTCATCCTGCTATGGCTCAAAGTCATTCTCGAATAACAGCAGTCTTTCCAAGCATTTCAAGAATTCCAGCTCACAATAGCCCACGTCCAAATCTGGGTTTCCCCATTTTTGGTAATAAGTTTTTGGTGATCCCCTGGTTTCCCATTTCTGCGGCAATATCCAAAAAAAAATGGCAGTTACCCAACAATGGAATGGTTTTCCCATTGGATATCTGGATCCCTTGGTTTCCCCTGTTTCCCCCGTTTCCCCTGGTTTACCCATTGTTGGGGGGTTCCATCCACAATAGGCACCGAAGTGGCCAAATCCATTGCACCGAAGGCCAGTCGAATCAAGGTGCCTTAAGGAGAGAGTCTTCACCAGGTGCCCCCCAGGGCGGAGCGGCTCCGGGCCCCCATGGGGACAACAGCCCGCGAGTCATCAACAATTCCAATACTCAAATATACTGAAATAGGGCACCTTTCGAGATGTTTATAGAATAATTGATAGGATTTCTAAATCTTTATGCAAGGGTATTCCAATTCTTTTCGAGTGGATCGGATCCAGCAATGTGGATTTCTGCACCTCTGTCACATCTGTTTGACATCTGTTTGACATGTAATTACTAAAACATGTTGACCCTTTGGCATGTTTGGCATAATGCATCCGTGACTTTTTTGAGGTCCATCTCCACCCATCCCCATGAAAGTAGCATAGCGACTCAAAGACGCACCGACGTCATCCCACTCCTTGAGAGTCAAAAGGGGACGAGAGTCAGAAAATGTCAGAAAATTGGTGTCATCAGATCCATGGTTTGCTGGACAATTCCCCGATGATTCCCAATTTATGTATAGCCTCTGGTAGTCAAAAGTCGCTGGAAAATCCCCTGCACATGGAGATTTATTATATGATTCAACCAAACCTGCTCATTTCTTGACAATCCCTAAATCCAATCAAATCCGGTAAAACTGTACATTTTCATGGGAAAATCATCTAGAAATGGGGATTTTCAACTACCAGATTACATTGCCGTAGGGTAGATAATTCTTCCATGAAAACGTCCATCTCCGGGGATTCACGTGGCTTACGCCGGATCCACCATTATCCTTCAATGATGTTCCCAGCTATAAGAAGAAAACACCATTTTCTTCGGGGATTTCCAAGCCAGCCATGGTGATTGCCGAGGGTATATATATATATCTCTCTCTCTCTCTCTGTGTGTGTGTGTTACTATATGTTACTACTGTAGACTACTGTTATAATTACTTGCAGGTCAACAATATTGTGTGTTAAGTTACTCCTAGACGATCAGGATTGGGTCCATGGGACACGCCCCAGTTCTGCGGACATCTTGACTCTTCTCCATGCAAACTGGTGCCTACCAGCTGCAAGTATAAGTTTGTTTATAAGTTTATAATCCATGCTAGCTATCTATATACTGTATATAGATATATAACATTATATAACTATATAATATATGTGTGTGTACCATAAACCCATTATTGGAGTTATAAACCAACTTGGCTAACGAACTGTGGCACCACCTTTTTTCTACTCTCCAATAGCTCCCTGCGGCCGCGAAGCCCTGTTTGAAATGGCATGCACCTGCAAAGGTTTCACCGTCTGATTGTGGCTGGTCATGGGGGCTTCCATAAATGGAGGTACCCCAAAATGGATGGTTCAAAATGGAACATCCTACTAAATTGGATGATTTGGGGGTACCACCATTTTAGGAAATCCCTATACATATGTGAATATATATATATATAGTTTCCTAAAAAGGGGGTACCCCAAGTCACCATGGTTGTTTCAAAGCTAAAATTGTCTACAGTAATGACTTGGATGATCTAGGGGTAGCCCCATGACTTAGGAAAGCCCCATTTTAGGAAGGCAACCGGCTTCGTGCTGCTCAGGATTATGCTTTATGGATCAGCATTATGCTACTCATGTGAAACATCGAATGACAACGGTCCAATCTCTTTAAACTTTAGGGCTCCACAATGGTCAAAAGGTATGGTCTACGATTGGGTTTGCCATATTTGTATAATGATAAATATGCTCAGTCACTAGTCGGAAAAAAAAAACACACATTGCTGGGGCAAGGCCGAGGCATGATATTTGTTTACAAAGCTCGGCCGGAAATGGGAAACCCGGCTGTTTCAAGAGCAAACCATCTATATCTGACATATCATCTCTGTCCACGTAACTACCAATCTTACACAGTACCTATATCTATCTGTCTATGCGGTCATGTGGGTTTGTGAGTAGGGATCCCTGAAATCGCTGCTTTACAATCTTCCGTGGAGGTATTTATACATATATTATACATTCATATAATTGTGTATATACATAAGGTTGATACTATAAATATAAATATATATATATATACAATCTCCCCCTCTCCCTTCTCCCTTCTCCCTTCTCCCTTCTCCCCTCTCGCTTCTCGCTTCTCGCTTCTCCCTTCTCGCTTCTCCCTTCTCCCTTCTCCCTTCTCCCTTCTCCCTTCTCCCTTCTCTCTTCTCCCCTCTCGCTTCTCCCTTCTCCCTTCTCCCTTCTCCCTTCTCCCTTCTCCCTCTCTCCCTTCTCTTCTCTCTTCTCGCTTCTCGCTTCTCGCTCTCTTCTCGCTTCTCGCTTCTCCCTTCTCCCTTCTCCCTTCTCCCCTCTCCCCTCTCGCTTCTCGCTTCTCGCTTCTCGCTTCTCCCCTCTCGCTTCTCCCTTCTCCCTTCTCCCTTCTCCCTTCTCCCTTCTCTCTTCTCCCCTCTCGCTTCTCCCCTCTCCCTTCTCCCTTCTCCCTTCTCCCTTCTCCCTTCTCCCTTCTCCCTTCTCCCTTCTCCCTTCTCCCTTCTCCCTTCTCCCTTCTCCCCTCTCGCTTCTCGCTTCTCGCTTCTCGCTTCTCGCTTCTCGCTTCTCGCTTCTCCCTTCTCGCTTCTCCCTTCTCCCTTCTCCCTTCTCCCTTCTCCCTTCTCCCTTCTCCCTTCTCCCTTCTCCCTTCTCCCTTCTCCCTTCTCTCTTCTCCCCTCTCGCTTCTCCCTTCTCCCTTCTCCCTTCTCCCTTCTCCCTTCTCCCTTCTCCCTTCTCCCCTCTCGCTTCTCGCTTCTCGCTTCTCTCTTCTCGCTTCTCGCTTCTCGCTTCTCGCTTCTCCCTTCTCCCTTCTCTCTTCTCCCCTCTCGCTTCTCCCTTCTCCCTTCTCCCTTCTCCCTTCTCCCTTCTCCCTTCTCCCTTCTCCCTTCTCCCTTCTCCCCTCTCCCCTCTCGCTTCTCGCTTCTCGCTTCTCGCTTCTCCCCTCTCGCTTCTCCCTTCTCCCTTCTCCCTTCTCCCTTCTCCCTTCTCCCTTCTCCCCTCTCGCTTCTCCCTTCTCCCTTCTCCCCAGATCACCTTTCTCCCGTCTCCTTCTCCATTCTCCCTTTCTTCCCTTCTCCATTTATACCTGCTCCCTTTCTCCTTGTCTCCCTTCGTCTCTCGCTTCTCGCTTCTTCGCGTATTCTCGCTTCCGCTTCTCGCTCCCCAATCCCCCCTTCGCGCTTTTTCCCTTCTCCTTCTCCTTCCCTCCCTTTCTCCCTTCTCTCCTTCTCCCTCCACTCGACCTTCTCCCTTCTCCCTTCTCCCTTCTCCCTTCTCCCTTCTCCCTTCTCCCTTCTCCCCTCTCGCTTCTCGCTTCTCGCTTCTCTCTTCTCGCTTCTCGCTTCTCGCTTCTCGCTTCTCGCTTCTCGCTTCTCCCTCCCTCCCTCCCTCCCTCTCCTCCCTCTGTCCCCCCATCGCCATCCCATACGGTATATAATATGCACCTTATCTTTGATGATGAATTCTTGAATTCCCCACTTGCCAAATGGGCAAGGGTCTGCCATCCCCATCCCTCCCAGCCTCACGGGTCATGCCGCTGATGGCGAAGGAGAAGGTGAAAATGGCCAGAAGGACCACGCCGAAGCACAGCAGCACCTGCGCCAGGAACCAGCTGTGGCAGTGGAGATGCTCCGATGGCAACATCTATACAGGCTTGCTACATCCAGTTCTTAGATTTGGAATATGTTACATTATCCATGGTCCATGGTACATCCAATTATTTGATGTTATTTGAATATTTGACTAATCTTGTCATCTTGTCTATGATTTCCTGAGATAATTCCAATATATCTGGCAGATTTATGAACTTTATAGTGACTTACCCTGAAAGAAAACATTTTGGGGATGGTTTCCCCAATCATAAGCATCATTTACAGTGACGTCGCAGCGAGGTCATTATTCATGTCACCGTCGTTTCCCAGCTGCTCACTGAGTTCTAGCAAGAGGGAGTTATGTCAATCCACGATTCACCCTGTTAGTAAAGCCCATGTTTGCCCTGGCTTTTGAGGAAGACTACAGCAAAACCACACTCAAGGTTATCACGGGATAAAACCAACTATTTTACGGGAATTATATTGTTTTTTTTGCTGGGGCTTCTCAGAGGGTTTGCCCGGGAATTAGAAGATACTATATAACGAACACTAATAATTACATAATTCGTGTACCTAGCCAATGGGCAATTGGTTTAGGGGACACGGGACAGTTTGGTTTTGAAACAATGACTTTTACATGGCAAGACAGTGTTTCTGGAAAACAAATTCTTCAGCCAATTCTATTTATTCAACAATCTAGGGGAATATGGACCAAACTGGAGACAACATTGCTTAATCTATTAACGTCATATCCGCAAGGGCATTGCTGCCTTACTGCAAACATAAAGGATATTGATTCATCAAGAACATGCGGGGATATTGACCAAGGACAGAAGGGATATGTTGATCAAGAAGGGTGGGAATAATCCCTGCCGTATATTAACCGTATATTAATTTCATATACCCGCTGGTAGTTTAACAAAGCTATCGGAAATGGCTATTTATAGATGATTATGATATGTTATGACGGTTTAACAGTAAAAATATGAAGGATTTCTATAGCTATGTTAGTCTACCAGAGGGTATTATGGCTATAGCGGCTATGGCTCCGTCTGAAAATAGGCTCTCCCTGTTGGATACATCCTGGGGAATCATCACAGCCTCCATGTTTTCAAAGACTGAGAAAAGAAAACAACTGGATCACTGGTGACTGTTCCTATCCCATCCTATCCCCATGGTTGCTTTATGGTGCTGGTTTCAAACAGCCACAAAATCACAAGGGGCGTCACCGCGTTTTTTTCAGGGATCCTGGGATCCTACCCTCTCACCTGCTCAATGGCGTGAAGACAGAGCACGCGATATTCCGACAGCTTCACCTTAAATAAACCGGTTCACCGCTGACGACCGGTTCACCGGGGCTGGTTGGTTGAGAATGTTGAGAGTAGCGGATAGCGGTCAAGGTGGGTTGGAAAGGAACTTGGGAATGGTTTGTTAATGTTTGTTATCACTACCATCTGGTTATTTAACATAGCTATGGAAAATCACCAGTTTTAATAGGTAAACACAGGTAAACCATCTATAAATGGGCAATTTTCCATGGCTAAAATTTAAATAACCAGAGGGTAAAATTTCTCGCATCCGAAGGTTGAAGATGTTTGTTCAGATTTCCATGGATATTCAGTAAGGCAGTTCAGCACAAGAATGGTTACCAGGATCAGCAGCGACCAGGGTTAGATCATCGAACGGATCATAGCTAGCTAGTACTAGTAGCCATACAGTATAACCTGTTATAACTATATTTATAACCCGTTATATATGATCATCTTACAATTAGTGTAGACATCGGATATAATAGCCATATCATTTGTGGACCATTTACAGGATTCGGATAATCCCCAAAAACATATTAACGATAGAGATACCTTGAATAGTGGATTTCCCAATGGGAAATTTAATATAACATACGGAAAATCAAAATAGTCCGCTTAGTAGACTCACAAGCCAGGGCTATCAATCCCTTCCCGCTAATACCAAACACCCCTAGAAACAATGATTTGGTAGGGGACAAATCCACGTATTTGGGACCATTATATTTAGGGGGTGTTTGCTATATTTTAGTATTAAGGGGATGAGATCAATCAGCTAATACTACCATCTGGTATCCATCTGGTTATTTAACATAGCGAACTGGACAATCAATGATAAATTTCTCAGTTTCAATGCGAAAATCATCTAATGGGCCATGGCTTCCATAGCGAACTGTTAAATAACCAGAGGCTATGGGATCGGGTGAACTTTGCAGCACTGGAAAAAGCTGGCACGGCACTGGCTGGCAATGAACCAGCAGCTGCCAATAAAAAACAATAACAATCCCAAAATCATCATTTATCCCATGGAAAACGGACAACAAAACAAGTGTCAAAGTTGGTATAGTCCCCCAATGATTTTCCTAAATAAATTTATAACTAACCTATAAGTAGATCCGACAGTAAATATTGCAATGATTCAGCAAACTTCAAAAATTCCGGCAATTGTGAATTTTTTGGGGATAGCTACCCGTTGCTAATCATCATTCCAGTGACGTCGCGACGTGAAGTCGTTGCGTTATAAACTATCTGGGAAAAACATTGAAAACACAAACGGCACTATTATATGTGTAAAAATTATATTATACTATATATATATATACATATGGAGGTTTCCTGAAATAGGGATACCCCTAAATCATCCATGTTATTTTCGGATTTTCCATTATAAACCATCCAGCTATATGGGGCCTCATTTATGGCGCCCGAGAGGCGGAGATGCTGCCGACCTCGAGGATTAAAATGACGTACCTCACGTTGCGCCCGTTGTTGCCGTTGTTGTGGGAGGAAAAACCACGAAAAAACTGAGGAAAATCATGGGATATGTCGGTACAAGGAAATTTGATCTCTCGGGGTGGTTTTCTCCGCTTTTAGGAAACCGGAAAGGACAGCTATCCAACATAGAGTACCCTGAGATACTCCTGGCCACAATGGCTTTGCCAATTTCAATCCAACATAATCCAACAATCTCTGTTGTGATATGCGCAGCATATAGCAATTTTCATAAGAAAATACGTGTGGTTGAGACACGGACCTAGAATACTCCAACCCACCAGTTTCCGGTGGCAGCTTCCCCCCCCGCCAACTGTGGGCCAATTTCCCCTGGACCAAGTTGCAGGAAAACCCCCAGGATGACGAAAATTTCGTAGAGGAGACCTGATCACTCGTCAATTTTTCGGTTTCATGACCTGCATCTGGGGATGGGTACCACAAATCTTGACACGTTTTTTGGGGGGCAGTTCAAGTTGAATGGGCTCCAAATGTTTTGGAGAATTGAGAAGACTCCTCGAAGTTTCATGGAGTTTGAGGGTTGATGGGTTAACCAAATACTTCCACGCCCCATAGCCATATGCAGCACAAGTTGCTTCACCCCTCTTTGATGCTTCCATTACTTTATTTCCTAGCAGTTTGTTAACCTCTTGATCTGGATAAATCATCAAAACTCACCTGAAAAATGGGCCACCTGGGATAGATCATGACCTGGGTTATCAATAGTTATCCCGTTTATCCCATATCTAGTTATTCAATTCCCATCATTCGACATCCTGACGTCGTCATTCAGGGGCCACCAACTCTCAGTGTGTCACTTCGGATTCTGACGACTTTTTTCCGACATCAATGTTGATCCAGGAGTCAGAAGTGTATAGTGCCGAATCCCTTTGGATCATTGGATGGTTTACTCCAAATTCCTCTGGAAAAAAAAAGCGCCATGGCTTGTCATTTTCCCACTTATAAAATTCACCATGTAGTTCGTGGATTTCCCAGCTTGCCACATGTTGATGACAACGGAGGGAGAGCTATGGATATGAATATGAATGGATGTGAATATGGATATGAACGCGCAGCGTAGACAATACAGGCGTGTCTTGTGTTCAAGGCTCCCAATAAATGCAATTAAAAAAAATGCCTATTTAGTTCGATGATACAAATCATGATTTACCGTGTTTAAAAAAGACGATTTTCGGTATATGTTTGATTCTGCAGGCCCATTACATCCCCATTGATGCCCATTACCCATCAAATGTTGAATTGCCCAGGGTAAATCCCTGCAAGGTGGTGCCACGCCCTAGTTAGAAATTGTTTATCATCGAACTAACTATAGATACTGTACATATAGATATACACATATGTATATATATATATATCCTAGTTAAACCATAGCTATTGGAGCTATATTTTCTCGGCCCCAGGGGCTCATCTCGTCCGTCCACTCTTCACATCTGTACTGGATGAGGCCCAACCCTTCATGCTCCGGATGCTCCTCGTGGAGGGAAAGAAAATGAAAGAAACCAGCAGGAGAGCGAATCAACAAAATCTATCTAGTATCAATGTATATCACTGATATAGATTAATAAGTTTAATAAGTGTAGTAAATCAGTGATAGAATGGCCATCCATGAAATATGATGACTTGAATATTTCAATATACTGAACCGTTCGATCCTCGTGAAGGACTTATTTCTAGCCCGATGCTGTTCGGGCTTCAATTCTTGCCTGGGCAAGAATTCCAGCTTCCATGTGTTTCTTCAGCCGGAATCTGTTTTGTGGAATTTGTTTCTGCGAACATAGCGGGGTTGCCCCTAATGAAATATACCAGTATCAATCAGTTTACAAAACCATTTTGAGGTTATCCAAACCCAAATCTGGCCAAATCTTGCCAGCATCACGCCAAATCACGCCCGGTTCCTTTTCGCCAAATCTGTTAAAAGAAACATATTTATCTGTTTCCGATTTTGGAATTGTTCATTGCGTGCTTTCATGTTTGGGGTTTTGCTATTCAAAATAGCCAGTCCTTTTTGAGGGTCTAGTTATACTTATATAAATATGTGCTACAATGGCGTGATAAAATCTGATACAACATGGTAAACTGTAGCGTAGTGTAATCCAAGGTGACTCAATGCAGTTATCTAACCTAATCCAGACACCTAGACTCAATACCATGAACAATGTACTGATTTATACATTTTGTTACTGGCAAATCTTCTGGCATTCTATCTGACATTTTATCTGGCATTCTATCCGGCATTCTATCTGGCATACCTTCTGGCATTCTATCTGGCATATCTTCTGGCATTCTATCTGGCATATCTTCTGGCATTCTACCTGGCATATCTTCTGGCATATGTTCTGGCATATCTTCTGGCATTCTTTCTGGCATTCTTTCTGGCATTCTATCTGGCATATCTTCTGGCATATTATCTGGCAAATCTTCTGGCATTCTATCTGGCAAACATTCTGGCACTTTATCTGGCATACCTTCTGGCATTCTATCTGGCATGCTATCTGGCATATCTTCTGGCATTCTACCTGGCATATGTTCTGGCATATCTTCCGGCATTCTATCTGGCATATCTTCTGTCATATTATCTGGAAAATCTTCTGGCATTCTATCTGGCAAAGGCATATCTTCTGACACTCTATCTGGCATATCTTCTGGCATTCTATCTGGCCGTTGAGGTCCAGCGTTGCACGCTGAGCTGGGAAGGTCCCAGGTTGAGGTCCAGCGGTGCACACTGAGCTGGGAAGGTCCCAGGTTGAGGTCCGGCAGGGAACACTTGGCGTGGATACTCGCAGTTGAGGTCCGGCAGGGAACACTTGGCGTGGATACTCGCGGTTGAGGTCCGGCAGGGAACACTGGGCGTGGATGGTCGTGGTTGAGGTCCGGCAGGGAACACTGGGCGTGGATGGTCGTGGTTGAGGTCCGACAGGAACACTGTGGATCGCGAGTCGCAGTTGAGCAGGAGGACGAGGAGGACAACGAGAGGAGGAGGAGGAGGCGGAGGAGGAGGAGGAGGCGGCAGGAGGAGGAGGAGGAGGAGGACCAGGCAACTTAGATAAAATCTAACAACCCTCACCTGGCAGGTGGGGAAAAACAAATCTAAAAAAAACACACATTGGCTTCATAATCCACCTGTGTATCAAACGGTTCATTTATCTGGCTGAATTATAATATTTCGTAGGTCGTTGGGTCGACTTTTTTATTTCAAAATTGAAGTAAGGTTTACGTCGCAAGAAATAGTGCATTATTTTTACGTCGGGCAAGATATATATATATATAATATTAATATATATATATTATATTATATATATATAGGATAGGTGACATTTCCATAGCACCCACCTGGCGGGCAGTGGCCGCTGACAAACGTATCTGGGATAGATGGTGCCAGGAAGAACTTGACATAAGAATGCTTTGTATATACCACAGAGATATATTCTAACATGTTGGACGGATGCCTTGCTTCTCCCCCTAACATGAGCGGGAACATCCAACTCATGCGCTACAGCTAAAGAAAAGTGAAGGAATAAACACTAGGTCCATATATGTGTCAGATAGTTTTACATCACTCTGGGAATTGATCCCATTACCTCCCGCTTGCTAGGCTGACGCTCTACCAACTGTGCTATTGAGTCTTCAGCATCTTGATAGTTGACATACGTACCGAGATATGCAAGGATAGAATGGAAGACTACCAGAAAATCATGAATACGCTCACAGGGGATGAAATATCACCAAGCATGGAAAGAAACATTTGAGAGAGCAAGAGCCGAGACCAGGGAGGGTTCGAACCCCAGCTCGTTTCGCAAGACGTCCAATTTGACCTTTTCGCGGGCTGAAAAGCTCAAATTGGATGCCTTGCGAAATCCTACCCCCCAAGTTCTTCAGCAAGGGCGAGTTAGCCATGCTTCTCTCCATTGCGGGTGAATGAGGACACTTTAAAACCCTTAGTATCCTTAATTCAGTGACTTAGGTCGATTTCTGGGGTGACGTCGGGTGACGTCCTTATAATTCGGGCAGATTTATACTGTCCCCATAAGCTTTAACGCACAGCGATGATCGATATGGGAACTGGTCATCAGTCATCCCCCCAAGAGTCGAAACTCACCCGTCCCAATCATTTTACAGTGATTACCAGGGATTCAACGAACAACAAACATGGGGATATTCATGGGATGTACCTGAAGTAAACTAATTTAGCTATGGACAATGATCCATTTAGTTCGATAGAAAGAATCTAGCAGCAGCAAGGATTAAATGGTGACGTTGCATAGCAAACCGTCAAATTACATCAGAATCAAATTACATAAATGTAACAAGATGTCCAATACGTGCGTATATTATATGTATGTGTTTCCAAACGTGATAATTGCATACAGTAAATCCCAAGGTAATCACATGTTAGCCATAAGATACCCGATCGCTACGTGAAACTTTGGTTTGGGGCTATGTGTTTTAAGGACACATCACCCGTCATCCAGACTGCGCCTCTGGCTTGCCCATGCAATGGAACATAGGCTCCACCTGATGGATCTGCTTCCTCTATGTTCTGCGTGTGGGAGAAAATAAATGGAAAACATTGTTTTTCCAATGTTTTGAATGGGAAAACCATGTGAAAATCTAGGAAAATCCACTGTCAATGGAAGTTTGTAGCTGGGAAACTCATCTACAAACGGTGGATTTTCCATTGCCATGTTTGATTAGAAGGTAATCATTCACCAACCTTTTCAAAGTTCGGCCATTTGTCATTGTGTAACCCTTTGCCCCCCCAACAAATAAATGACGCTCTTGTAAGGCTACAATAGTTCTTGAATATATACATACGTAATACGTACATGTATATGTATGTATATATATAAATATAATATACATATCAACATATATATATATATATACAGTAAATACATATACACCATGTATATGTTGTACATAAAACCCCCATTCTCAGAATTGGGGGCTACGGCATCCGAACCTGGAATGGCCACTGAGAGATCCAGCAGTCATCTGGTCATGACCAGGAGAAATGCTTTTGTTCTGGCTTGTAGCTTTATCAAATCCCTAAAGTAATCACTAATTAATACAAAACGAGGTGATACTTTGGAAACTTCGCGTGAAGAAAACTTGGTCGGCCGCTCGAACGAATCGGGTCCAATCCCCATAATTAGAAACTCCTACATGGGACTGGGACCGGGATCCCAAAACAACGCTTTCCGGCAGGTGCATTTGGGTTTATCATCTGATAACAATGGGAACACCAGAATGCAATGGTTTATCATCATGTTCCTCACTATTAATTGCCATGCATTGGGGCACCCGGCCATTTCCAAACAAACCCAAATTGTATATCATATGTTGCTGGTTGATGTTGGTTGCATATCCCAGATTATCCCAGTAGATCTCCAGAAAAAGATTGGTTGATAGATCACCAGTGGGAGTAGTCCGTATACCCTCCGGCAATCAAACGTGGCAATTGGAAATCCACTAGAAATGGAGGTTTCAACCGGAAAATCACCTACAAATAGTGTATTTTCCATTGCCGTGTTTGATTACCGGAGGGTAACAGGTGCATCGCGGAAAGTTCGGGAAGCCACGAGGAACCCAGGTCCAATGCAGCTGGCTGGCAGTCATCATCGCCAGCAAGTCCATCATCAGCCTGCCAGCGCCGCCAGCTCTCCATGCACGTGATGGCGGAGCCTACCATGACATGTGCCTACCATTATATGGTGTTTACATTGCATGCATACACAGACATATATATATATATATGTGTGTAATCATATCTATATATAATTACATACAGACAGATGTTAGTGTCTTGTGACACAAAAAAAATATGGAACATGAGCATGTCTAATCTATGGACTAATGATTAATATTAGATTCATCGGCAATACTTATCCACATTTCATGGTGGCTTGAAGGACAGTGGTCTGAAAGACAAGAATTGATCCTTTCAAATGGCCCATGAATTGGGCGCTGCCGAGAGGCAGGAGGCTGAGGATATCCGAGCTCCTGGTGAGGTACTGCGGGATCTTCACACCGCAGATTCGGGTCAACGCCTCAGTTAGCGACCTGTGAACGTGCGACCCGGCAGGACGGGGTCACAAGCAGGACAGGTTCCGATTTAAAGCTACAGCGAAGTCACTGAAACTGAACTTGGATGAAATTGATGAAATATAACTGGTTGGTGGTTGAGTCTACCCCTCTGAAAATATTAGTCAGTTGGCATTATCATTAATATATGGAAAAATAAAATTCATGTTCCAAACCACCAACCAGATATCACACCACCATCCCCAAGAAATCTCGGTGTTTTCCCTGTCAAGGCACACCATCTTTACAGGCCCTGCAGCATTGCACCGAATGCCAGTAGAGCAAGCGGCAAAATCCCACAGAGTAGACCAAAAATCGCCCACCCGCCAACACTTTGATCCTCATGTCACATGGAGTCTCATGGGGATGCGAAATCTAAGTGGAAATTTCTCCTTAGCCTAGGAGGCTGCTTTGTGTCTCGGACTAATCAAGAGTCACCCTCAAAGATGGGCATAAAGGAATCAACACATACACAAAAACATCTAGATTTGGAAAAATCAAATGCCCAGGACTCATCTTCCATTCCATTGCCCTATTTCAGTGTGTTCAATCTGGCCAATTTACATAGAATCATCTCGTCGTTAATTCGCATGTGCGACGTTGTACCTTGCCTCGTTAATTTAGGTTGGGGGAATTACTGGGCTCGTACCTTTGCCTAACAGATCACGGTGGCGTCCTTTTTTGACAAGCAAAATGTGAAGAAAAAAATGTTTCACAAGCTGAAAAGTGTATTCCCCTCTAGGCCTGATAGAAGCATTGCAATTGCGACCAAACAACCAGAAAAAAACCATTCAAAAAAGCAAAAACTTCACCCCGTGGGAACGTGAATGTATCCACAGAGATTCCATCCTTCAGGGTCTAAGTATGGTCTAAGTGTTGGCAGGCCCCTTTGTTTTTCTTCACCCCATATGAAAATGTGGCAGGCCGAAAACCGATTTCCACATGTTTCCACAGTCTCACCCTGAAGGCCCCGTCACAAAATCTGACCAAACCCTCCAGAAAAGAAGGGATCTACCAACTTAAAACGCAATAGCACTGAAAATTGTCCTGTTGGGGTAAAAAGAAAAACAGTCCGTGTAGGCTGGAGGACGTACTACGCATATGTCCAAGGCACACCAGATGATCCATCAAGGTAGGGGCGTTCAGAATGCCTGAGGGGACCAGCCATTATGGGCCATCACCACAAACAGTGGCTGGTGATGGCTTGTTGGTTGCATCAGCCATCCCAAAGATAAAAACAGCCAAAGGCTGGACAATCACCATTTATCAGCGGCAAAATCATCTCAATTGATGGGTGGCAGGAGTTGCTATTAGATTGGCCATTGGCTGGGCCAATGCCACGGTCCAAGACATCTGTCATCTGGCTATGAAGATGTTGTTGAAATATCTCAGTTTGGGCCCATCCTAACCAACGTATAATCAACATGAATAAACCATCTGGGCAAATTATGACAGTTGACTAACCTGAAATGTTGGGCCATTTTGTGATGATTCCACTTGGCTTAGGGAATTGGCAGCTCAGCCTGCCATCCATTCATTGATTCACTAAATTATTCATTGATTCACTATGTATTTATTCACTGCTGTTCGCATTTACTCATCCATCCGTTCATTCATTCACTCTTTGAATGATTTATTCATTCATCTCATTCGTGCATTCAAAAATTCATGCAGTCATGCATTCACGCATACGTGCATACATGCATTCACACATACATGCATACATGCACAGATGCATTCACACATACATGCATACATGCAAACATGCATCCATGCATTTATTCATTTCATTTCATTCCATTCCATTTCATTTCATTTCATTCATTCACCCATTCATTCAACCATTCATTCATTGATTTACTCATTCATTCGCTCATTTAGTGATCCATTCATTCACTCATTCATTTGTTTGTTTGTTCCGGTCATTCAATCATTCATGTATCTCACTCCGTCAATTCATTCAATCAGTCATGCACTGATTCAATCAAAAGACTTTACTATAGGCCCTTCATCACCTATATTTGGATGTGCATCCCAGTTGGTAAGCGGTCAATCACCACAGTATAAGTGAGAACAGTTTGGAACTAGAACCTGTCATTTTGCATGGTATTTGCTACATTTTGGCACGTTCACCTTCCATTTTGCATGGTAGTACATTTTAGTATGTTCACCTTCCATTTTGCATGGCTACATTCATGTTTCTATGTTTGCCTTCCATTTTGCACAGTAATTGTTACATTTTGGCACTTCAACCTCTCATTTTGCAGGGTATTTGCTACGAGCTTGGTACTTCAACCGTTCATGCGGGTTTCTTGAGGGTTTCATTTAGGATTTCATGTAGGATTTTTTTGGTTTCATTTAGGGTTTCATTTAGGATTTCCTTAGGGTTTCATTTAGGGTTTCTTTGGGGTCTCTTTCCGGCTTCACTTAGGGCTTCACTTAGGGCCTCATTTAGGGGTTCACTTAGGATTTCATGTAGGGTTTCATTTAGGGTTTCTTATTAGGGTTTCTTTAGGGTGTCTTTGGGTTTCATCTAGGGTTTCATTTAGGATACAAACAGAAGAGAATAAAGCAAAACAAAAGAACAACAACGAGACAGTAAAGAAAGGAAGCAGAGAAGCAAAGGAGCACAAAGAAGCAAAGCAGCAAACACGCATGACTGCAGAAAAAGAAAGCAAATAGAAGCAGAAAGGCAGAGAAGCAGAAAAGCAAAGAAGCAGGAAAAGCAAAAAGTGGAAAAGCGAGAACAGAAAAAAGAGAAGCAAAAGCAGAAAAGCAGAGAAGCAAAGAAGCAGGAAAGGAAAAAAAAAAACGGAAAAGCAGGAAAAACAAAAAAGGTCAAACAAGCAGAGAAGCAGAAAAGCAGAGAAGCAGGGAAAGCACAAAAGCGGAAAAACATAAACGCAGAAAAGCAAGAAAAGCAAAGAATCAGGAACAGCAGAAAAGCAGGAACCCAAGCAAAATCCTAAACCTGATCAAGAAAACACGTAAGACATAGCTCTCCCTATTCAAATTCAACCATTGGGGTGTCGTCTTAATGGGGGAAATGAACTGCATAATCCGCCCATCCAAACGTGAGATTCAACAAGGGCAAAATAAGAGAATAAGTGTTAAGATTCGCCCTTGTTAACGTGGTTGCTGGTGGCTAAAATTAATCCTTAGCAAACATGTTTGGGGGTGGACACCTTTGGAAGGGGATTGTCCCATTAATCCCTATACAATCCTGTAAATATAAATATATATATATGACATATGTATGTATCCCCATCATTGTTGATTTTACATAATCATCATTGTTGCTTTGATCCTTCATCTAGAGCCATTTGAGCCATTAAACAATACCACCATCCATCTCATTATACCAGTTGGTTGATAGATTTCCCTACTATGGGCTATAAGAATTCCCAGCCCGGGCAGTAGAACTCCCTATAAAAGCCAAATTTCAAATGGTTCAATT